AAAATACAACTCCCATATCAAGGAACAAAAAAATAGATTTCATTCTTTGAAATAAATTGTTACTGTCAATATTAGCGTCACTACCAACGATAGTGCCACCGTTGATAAAGGTTTATACATAGCAGCATTTAAATAAACGATCACGTAAATTGTTGAAATGTAATTTAAAATAAAATGCTTTTTCGTGCTGTGATCGTATGATGTCATTCAGTTGGCATTGAAAGTGTACGTTTAATTGATTTTCACGTCACTTCATTGAATAGGATTCCATCTGGGCTAAGGAATTTTCGAGCATTTCAAGACAGCTTTAGAACCCTACAGTACAGAATAAGAAAATGAACTTCTGTGTAAAATGGAAATTCTTATTGATCGTAATTAACTGTTGCATAATTGCGAGAAAATCTTTGTATTTTAAATGAATGCTTCATACCTACTAACGAGGTGAATGATATGAATTTAAAATGTAAAAAGTACAATGTTTGTACAACATAATTTGCTTTCCACTACTACACTTCCTAGGTTAAATTTCAAAATAAAAGAAATTTATATTAAAGGAGTAATTTATTATCAACTAGTAGCTAGTACTCTACAAAACTAAAGCAGCTTTAACTAAAATTACACATGTTGTAATGTACCATTTGTGTCAATATAGACCGGGAGATGATGACACTTTTTGTGGTGTGATTTGCTACAAGTATGGCGACCATTCAAAAGTTTAATTAAGTACTCCTCGAAACGAAAATGGTGCTAACTCTCTGGGAGTGGGGCCGTTATTGCGTGACGATTGTTTAAACATGTCGGAAAATTGAATGTTTTTGGACAATTTGCTACACCAAAATTCTTTGGATTTTCTGGTAATCGGTGAAAAAACAAATGACGGAAACGAAATGCCATACTTTTCCGGTGGGCCTTATAGCCCGCCATACTCATTTGAAAGTGGTCGATTGTTTGTATTTTTTTTGGGTGATTTGCTACAAGCTCATTTTTTTATGAGCATCAAGTCCTCAATCAGTCATTCACGAAAATCAACCTGCCATACCGCAGCGACGGGCCCGCATAGCCGCCATACCGGCACAAAGATGTCATTTTTGTTAATAATTTTGGGCGATTTTCTACTCCCTATAAATTTTCCACCAGTTATTTTTATAGTCAGAAATAGAAATTTCGATACGCCATACCTGTGGCATGGGCCAATTATGTATAATATTTTTTCAAAAATGTAAGAATTTTCCGAAAATTTGGGCGATTTGCTACAGTATGGCACAATGTTTCTGACAGTTTGAGGTGTAATAAAAGTAAATATCAAGTTTTCAAACATGAATCCCAAGGCTAATCTTTTTTATCACGAGATGTTAATATTCTCCGCCCACTCGAACTTCTTAGTCAAGTGAAGAGGTCCCGGTCGGGGTCGTTGTGTTCTGCATTGCATTCAATGGACGCATGG